GTGAACTTAAGGAGCAGTACTCAGATGCACCGGAGGAAATCCGTGATGCTCGGCATCCTCATGTTACTCGCCAGAGTCAGGAGGACCAACACAGGTCTGAGCCCTTGCAATTAGAAATTATTTCTATGCTGTGGAGCGTGGTCCTCATACTTTAGGTGAATGTGATTAAACTTGCTACCAAGAGAACCAACGTTATGTAGAAAGTGGAGTAAAAAAATGTGAGATGATAGTTCTATGAGTTAGGAGCTTGAAGTACAGAATAGGAACTGATAAAAATGTTTTGTTTTTCCCAACTGTTTAGGCTGAAGCAAAAGCTGTACGAAGAGGAATGTATACAGATTCACATAGTGTGACTTTAAAATTCTATATTTCACTGTCACAGTTCCCACTTTTGTGTAGAGAGCAATAAAGGCAGGTTTTTTTATGATAGCACCGAGAGAGCTAGATAAGTTCAGGGAAGGAAAGTAGAAAAGGAATTGTAACTCGAATATGTTCATCAACTTTGCTCGGATGCAGTCTATAGTTGATGGATTTGCACGAAAGGGCCCATTTAGGTAATCTTGTTTATAGAGCTTAAATATGAATTTTTTTGGTAAAATGTTTTAAATATTAATAGTACTGTGGATGTGCTATGGGTTTATCTCTGGGATGAGGGAAGTTCCAGCATAGAGATCATTTCATTGAGGAAGCTTATTGAGCATTCAGTAAATTGGTACTAAATACAATGTTCATCTGCTATGAAACTTCTTGGGAATTCTCTGAACAAGGGATGAGTAAATACCTGAGCCCAAGTTCTGGGCTGGAGCTTTCCATCTCTGTGGTCTGAGCTTGCTGTGAACAGTGTCTGTTTTCTCCGGCAGGATTAACTACGAGGAGAGCATGATGGTGCGTTTGAGTGTCAGTAAACGAGAGAAAGGACGACGGAAACGAGCAAATGCCATGAGCTCACAACTTCATTCCCTCACGCACTTCAGTGACATCAGTGCTTTGACAGGAGGGACTGCTCATCTTGATGAGGTGAGATTGAGATACAGTAGTAGGAGGTGACCTTTATGCTTGCAGCCAAGTGTATGTGGGGCTTATTACTGTGAGGAACAGGGGAAGGGATGCTGACATTTGGGAAGCACACTGCCTTTCCTTCACTTCTCCATCTGTCTGCAGGATCACAATCCTGTTAAGAAGCGGAAGAAGATACCTAAGAAAGGTGGGAAGAAAAAAGGTGAGCGAACTGCTAGGACTTAGGTGATCAAGTGCAAGGTGAGGAATATGAATTGGGACTCAGGATTTGCTTCTGTACTGGGCAAGAATCTCCGTAGGTGGGCTTTTATTTTTCTCCTTGCCTAAGCTGGAAATCAGCATCATTGACACAAGGGATCGTTGGAATCCATCTCTATGGTCCCACAGCTCCTGTTAAGGCTTCCTTAAATAGAACTATGAAAGTGTCACTTGAAGGGCCCATTATCCCGTTTCAATTTCATTCTTCTAGTCTTACGTGCTGGGAAGGTAGAGAGTACTGCTTGGGACACCCACTTCTGTTGAGCCCTTCTCTCTAGATGTCCTTTTTTCCTGTCCCTTCAGCTTTTCCTACTGTCCTTTGGCTCATTCTTGGTTTCCCTTCCTTTCAGGTTTTCGGAGGCGGCGGTGATTCTGGGTGTACATATTTATATATATTTTTTGTCATCCTGGGATACTTCTAATTTCATCATATGTAGGTTTTT